ATGTAACGTAATGTAACGTAATGTAACGTAATGTAACGTAATGTAACGCAATGTAACGTAATGTAACGCAATGTATCGTAATGTAACGTAATGTAATGTGATGTAATGGGGTAGGGCACTGGTTTAAACCTTATACAGGTTAAGAGCCTAGGTTATAGGGTTTTTGGGGTTTTTGGTTTAGGGTTCTGGGGGTTCAGGGTTTAGAGGGGGTTTTGGGGTTTACGGTTTTTGGGGTTTAACATTGGATTTAATTAAGGTTCCGGGCTTGAAGCAACCAGTCGGGCAGCTGCACGCCGACGATCCACCAGAAACCAAAGAGTCCAAGGCTCACGCCAGTGCCGTAGGACACCAAATTGTGAATGGGAGCCCCTGCTCTTACTTGTGCTGCCCACGCGTCCATTCCTGGTTGAGGGTTTACAATCCCAGAAGGTCCATATATACTACCATTATGGAATTAGGTCCCCAAAACCATATTAGGGATGGTCTTTTGGGACTTAATTCCATAATGGTAGTGTATATGGACCCTCTGGGAATGTTACATCTAGCCCATAAAATCTACAGTTGCCTGGCTCCTGATTAGAAATTCCGTACATATCTCTCTCTCGGTCTCTCTATATACGTCTGTGTGTGTGTGTGTCTGCGTATCTTACGTAATTAAGCAGTTTGACTACCAGTACATGCAGGGAGGGCTTCAACTAATTTGCACACGTCTCCACACGGATTGATTGAGGGCTTTTTCTGCTTAAGCCGAGACGGATAGCGGCTGAGCATTCCCCTATCGAAACACATGGCTACATGCAAAATCCTTAACCTCAAAGCAAACCTGCTCATTGCGGCGCCTCGCCTAGCGTAATCAATGGGGTCGCGATCAGCAGAGCGTAGTGCCAGGGAAGGCCAGTGCCCAAGTGCTTCGCCAGCAGCTCGTCACGAAGAGGCCCCCGAACATGGGCCGTGAAGGCGTCCAGACTGCCTCTGGCAACTCTGAAGAAAACACCCAAAGACCATCCCGAAGGGTCCTATGTGCTGTAATGGGGATACTTCCCTAAATCATAATAGTAATTCCTAATATAGAAACCCTACATTCTACTATGTAGGTACATTGGACTCTTTGGGCATAAAAGTCCTGATTTACTGAAATACGGAGCCGTGAAGGCGTCTAGGCTTCCTCCAGCTTCCAAGATCCGGCGTTCGTTAGAGGCTTGCTTGCGCAAGAGGCTCCCTTCTTGGACGTCCTTATGCGGTCCCTTCTTGGACGTCTCGAAAATGTGCAAATCATATGTGTGCTTGTATGTATATACTAAATCTGAGTACAATATGAACAGGATTAGGCAGATTAATATGCATGCGAGTATGAGTATGAGTATGTAGAACAGCAATGACTACTGTCAATACGTACATGTTAGGTGAGGCTTTTAAGTTCACATTCTAGGTTTGTACGATACCTGTAGCTGCTTTTAAGCTTCTCCGTTTTCATACTCGAGTTCATGTTAATATTTTTCGTGCTCGTACATGCATATCTATGTATATGCACACGTTAATATACATAAGGATACGCATGCGAATGTATCTTTTCTCACACATGTACATATACATATATATATATATATATGTATGTATGGATATACATGTGTGCGCATAAGTTTATTGAGATATTCAGCTGTGTAGCTTCATTCCAGATTGTACTTGTTTGCATCTCGTTGTTGAGGTTACACACTCTCTCGCTCTCTCTCTCTCTCTCTCTGTCTCTCCCCGTATGTATATAAAAAATATGAGGAGCTGGGTATCCTAGTCACAAAAAGGCTTGTACTTAACCTGTTCAACATTGGTAGGATCGTAGAGAGCCCAGAAGGCTAAGGGTTACCTACTCAGTTACTAAGACATACGTACATATGTATGTACAGAAAGTCAGCAATGGAGATCTGCATTCATGTATATGTACTTTATGTCTGCAAGAACCTAACTGATATCGCTGGCCTAGGATGCATTGGGTTCACGATATGCAGAAACCCTAAACCCTAGACCCTAAACCCTGAATCCTAAACCCTAAACCGACCAACCAACCTAAACCCTAAATCCCCCATTAGGCCCATATCCCCTGAACCAGGCCCTCCTCCAGGATTATATTCTTATGAAGCTTCGATTTGCTGTGGTACGGTTGATGATATAAATCATGCATTACCCATAACAAGGAATATACCATAATTCCCATTAAGGTAATGCAAAATTTATATCATCAACACTATTTTGGCACACCAGAACGCAAAGGACGCATCCCCACAGAGCATACCGGAAGAAGCATGGCTGTCTAAACCCCAAACCCAAAACCCCAAATTGAACCCCACGACTCCAAACCCATAAACATGAGATGCCTGCCCTGATCTGCCACAACTCCCCTCGACCCTGCACCCAACTCCTAGGTACCTAGCAGGGAAGTTAGTTCAAGATAGCAGAATGGGGATCTATAATGAAAAAATAATCTCCTGATTCTGACTATGGTTGAGGGTTTAGGGTTCTTGAGCTAAGTTCCTCAGCAAAAAACTCAGACTCAAACCCAAAACCTTGAAACCCTAAACCCTTAAAGCCCTAAACCCCTAAATCCGAAACCCAAAGCCCTGTACCCTGAAACCCTGCAACCCTAAACCCTAAAACCCTACAGCCCTAACTTAACCCTTCTGTTCGCCCAAAGCCTGGCTGACGATAAGTTCAGACTGCTCGGGTTGAGAGAACGGAACGGCAGCAGCCACAGCTTCCCATATCCCCCCAATTCAGGAACATACCTTATATTATAGTAGGATCCCCGGTATACTTTGAGATACAACTCAGGAACATACCTTAAATTATAGTAGGATCCCCGGTATATTTTGAAATACAGTTCAGGAACATACCTTAAATTATAGTAGGACCCCTGATATAATTTGAAATATCTATATTTCTTAATTAAGGGGTTGTTGCATCTTCCCTAAACCCTAAACCCTAAAACCTAAACCCTAAACCCAAGAGGTCTGCCAGGCTGGCTCCCTTGTTTCTTACACACTGACTAGCCTTCCATTGCTTCGGGTTTAGGCGTTTAGGGTTTAGGGTTTAGGCATTGACACCCAGGCCCTAAACCCTAAAGACCTAAAGCCCTACTTGTCGAGCTACCCTAAACCCAAACACCCTAAGACCCAAAACCCTAAACACCCTGACCCTAAACCCTAAACCCTAACCGTCGAGCTACCGTACCACTTCTCGATGGCGGCGTAGATGAACTCCTGGTCGCTTGCCTTCCGACATCCCGCGGCCGAGAGCTCAAAGGTGGCCAAGTCGTAGAAGACCTGGCTTTAGAGAAAGGCCTGGGAGCCAGAATTTGAGGTTGGGGTTTAGCATTTGGGTTTGGGGTTCCGAATTTAAGTTGACAAGATTCTTCGAACGGCTACTTCAGAGGTTTAGGTTTCGGGTTTTAGGCTTTAGGGTTCATGGATGTATACAGGGACCAGAAACCTGCTATTTTCTATATTAAAGTTCTGTCGGGAACTTTAGATCGGAAGGCTGATCATCCAGGCCTGGTTTTAATTCATCCAGACGCTTTATGAATCATGCACCTCACCGGTTGGGACTGCGAGAGGTCTGAACGACTACATGCAGAAAGACAGACCGACAGGCAGACCGACCCACCGACCGACCGACCGACATACAGACCGACAAACGGACGGACCGACGGACCCACTGACCGACCGACAGACCCACCGACAAATAGGCAGGCAGGCAGGCAGGCAGGAAGGCGAACACGAAACCCTAAACCCTAAACCCCCCTAAACCCAAACCCCTGCGCCCCCTTGCTTTGAAAAAAAACAGAACGCCAGGCCTGGCGCTTCTGGGACAAGTTCTTCCGGAGCGAATGGAAGACAAGGAAGAAGGGGATCAGGGCAACGAGTAAAGTAACAAGACTCTGCAGTCCTCCCAATCGAGTTTATGGACTTAGGGCTTAGGATCTCGGGGTGTGTGTTTAGGGTTTAGGGTTTACGGATTTAGGGTTTAGGGTTCAGGGTTTAGGGTTGGTTTAGGGCTTAAAGGCTTGCGGCTTTGGGGTTTCAGGCCGTGGAGGGAGGAGGTCGTTTTTGGGGTGGGGACGGACCTCACAAGAATGACATCCCGATGAGAAGGGCCCTTCTACCCCCGCAAAAAAGTAGCATCCTTCTGTTTACGGGTACCAGGCGCATGTTCAGATTGCTTTTTTCAGAGGGTCCACGTGTATGTATACATATATATATATATGTATGTATGTATGTATGTATGTATGTATGTATGTATGTATATATATATATTGGGCCTAAAGTGCCTTTTTCGAGACTACTTTAAGGTCAAAAGTATATACTATATCGGTACATGGACCCTTAGGGTTTGCGTCGATTGACAACCTAGTCCTTACCCCAATGGTCATAAGAGAATAAAATCTTACACTTTCAGAATACTTTCAACTTATTGGAACCCAGAACCCTAAACAGTACATGGGTAGTTCTCTAAATTACGGTCTCCTTTATAAGGGTGCCGTACTATATTGGAAACCCCAAAAGGGACCCAAATTTTGAGAACCACGCACATCCTGAACCCTGCGCGGGATTAAGATTGAGGTATGTCAGAGGCAAGCAAGAACTGCGAAGACAAGTATGGTCTGAAGCTTCGGTGCGGTTCTCAATGCAGGGTCGTTGGTTCAGGGCCTTTAGGGCTTGTGGATGTCTGTGGATTAATGCCTTTCGAGCCTTGAGGGCCTTTAGGCCTTGGTGCCTTCAGGGTCTAGGGCTTTACGTGCCTTTAGGATGTAGGGTTTAGGGTTCAGAAGTTTGCCAGAGAGCCAATTTCAACAATGGATATTTGGTATTTAGATGTCTTTAGACTACACAACAGGAGCCTAGTTGTCCAAGTACCCGAACTCCAAATCCTAAGCCTCAGGCCCTCAAGCCCTCAACCCCAAAACGCTAAAACCCTCCAGCCGAAAACCCTACGTATAACCCGAAAACCGCACACGCTAGACCCAAAGCGCTAAAGTGATATCGAGCTGCTACGGACTACAGCCTGGGTCAGGCCTCCCTTCGTGATACTTCTAGGGTTTAGGGTTTAGGGTTTAGGGCTTCCTCCATTGGGGAGAGTTCGGATCCCAACATTACAGCAGAGCAATCCAACGAAGCAGCCTCTGAATCCTTATTGAGAAGCCTATCAATCCCTAAGGGTCCATGTACCCAAAAAGTGTATATATATATATATACTTTGGCCTTAAAGTAGTCCCTATATAGGTACTTTGGGCCAAAGAATATACTATTTGAGCACATGGACCCTTGGGGAATTTTAATCCCAACAGCTGCCTAGGGTGGCGATCACGAGCACGTAGATGAGGAGGGCCAGTGTAGCACCCACCCAGACAGAGGCTACCGCGCTCTCCACGAACCTTGACGGATTGGTGGCTTCAGCTTTTCCATAAGATTCTCCAGCAACCGCTTACAAATCATGGCTCCCACTAAACCCTACACCCACTAATCAACTTTACTAAGGAAGCCCCGGAAACAAAAACGTATCAGCGGGAACAAAGTCTCGCCGTGGTCGGGCTCAGCTTGCGGGTTACATGGCAGTCAGTTGATGTCCGCAGAACATACGGTTGAGGGTTTAGGGTTATGTTGCTCGACATGGGGAAACATCGTGCAAGGGCTGCTTCAGTCACACTCTGCCGTTGCATGCGGTCGTGGCTGACAAAACCACGGGCATTGCTGCCAGGCAAAAACAACATCGCGAAGGGTTGCACTCGTTCATCTTTTATGACCCGCGCGCTACATACCTGCGACTTCGACCTGTCACATGCCAACAATGCCTTTAAGCTGTAGGCCCAAAGTCGTGAACCGCAAAAATCCGAGCTTGTACTCTAACCCTGCGCGTTCCCAACACCGCACTGACACCAAAGCGCGCACACCACACTTGAAACTCTGAAACTCTGAACCGCCGAAAACCCGACCTAATTCCCCAACGCCTACCTGTTGAAGTATTTATGTAAAGAAATATCACTATAGTACTTCAAGGACCCCCCCCCTAAACCCTAAACCCTAAACCCTAAGCCCCCCGCCAAAAAAATAAGGTAGCTTTCTTAAAGGACCAAGAAAAATCCCGAACCCCAACCATGATCATCGCGTCAGGGGAGCAAGGGAGCGAATCGGATCCTGCAGATCAGCTCAGGGCTTAGGGTTGTTCCGGGTTTAGGGTTTAAAATTTAGGGTTCGGGTTTAGGGTTCAGGGTTTAGGGTTTAAGGAGTTTAAAGTTTTTTTGATATTAGGTTTAGGGTTTAAGGTTTAAGGTTTAGGGTTTAGGATTTAGGGTTCAGGGTTCAGGGTCTAGGGTTTAGAGGGTTTAGGGAGTCGGCTTATAGGGTGTTGCATTCATCTTTGCTTTGTGGAATGCTTCGTAGCCTGTTTGGATGCGCGGCCACAGAAGATAGGCCAGCCCGGTTTAGGGACGAGGAGACAACAACCTATTGAGACCCTAAATTAAACCCTAAACCCTCTAAACCCTCTAAACCCTAAACCCCAAACCCTAAACCCCTAAACCCTTAAACCCTAAACCCTCTAAACCCTAAACCCTAAACACCCCTAAACCCTAAACCCTAATCCCCTAAACCCCAATCCCCTAATCTAAAACCCTGTCTCAGTCTATCGAGGCCCCTGTATTGAGTATTCT